CATGTCTAGTCTGAATGGTCAGGGACCAAAGAATTTTAGAAATTCAAAAATAAAATAAGTAATTCAACAATGATGGAGGGATTCCCTGGTGGCACAGTGGTTAAGAATCTGCCTGCCAATGAAGGGGACATGGGTTCGAACCCTGTTCTGGGAAGATCCCACATGCTGGGGAGCAACTAAGCCCGTGCACCACAACTACTGAACCTGCACTCTACAGCCCATGAGCCACAACTACTGAGCCCATGTGCCACAACTACTGAAGCCTGCATGCCTAGAGCCTATGCTGTACAACAAGAGAAGCTACTGTGATGAGAAGCCTGCGCACTGCAACGAAGAGTAGCCCCCACTCTCTGCAACTAGAGAAAGCCTGTGCGCAGCAACGAAGACCCAATGCAGCCAAAAATAAATAATTTAAAAAAAACTCTTAAAATAATGGAGATTCTTTAATAGTCTAGTTGATAACAGGACACTGTCACTCAACTGAACCTATTTATAGAACATTCTACCAGCATTTTCAGGTGCTCATGGAACATTCTCCAGGATAGACAATATCTTATAGACTACAAATCACAATGAATTTTAAAAGACAGAGTATACTTTGTAATTTCAAACTCCAGTGGAATTAGATATTTACAACAAAATGAAGCCTGGAAAACCCCCAAATGTTTGGAAGTTAACACATCTAAATAGTGTGTGGGTCAAAAAGAGTGGAAATCAAAACACAAAATTTGTGGGATGCAGCTAAAGCAGTGCTGGAGGGAAATGTATATAGCTTTTAAACACCTGTATGAGAAAAGAAGAAAGGCCTCACAAAACCTAGGCTTCTACCTTAAAACGCTAAAGAAGAGCAAACAAAACCCAAAGGAAGCAGAAGAAAAGAAATAGTAATGATTAGCAAGGAGATCAATGAAACAAAAAACAAAAACCACTGACCAACAAAGTAACACACAAATACCAAAATCATGAATGAAAAAGGGTACATCACTACCAATCCTACAGAAATGAACAGGACTTACAAAGGAATACTAGGGAAACTATACCAACAAATTAGATTTTAGATGAAATGGACAAATTCCTTAAATTGATTTAACAAAAGTCTGAAGTCTTCATGCAAAGGAAAGCTCAGGTCCACATGGCTTCACTAGTGCATTCTATCAGTAACACTAATCACTCACAAACTCTTCCAGAAAATACAGGAGGGGACACTTCCCAACTCATTCTATGAGGCTAATGTTATCCTGATACCAAACAAAACGAGAGATCAATGTCCCTCATGAATACAGATGTAAAATCTTTAAAACGTTAGCAACCCAAATACAGCAACATTATACACAACCAGGTGGGATTTATCACAGGAATGCAAGGTTGGTTAAACATCTAAAAATCAATTAACATAAACCACAGTCATAGAATAAAGGACAAAATCCACAAGATCATCTCAGTGGATGAAGGAAAACATTTGACAAAATCCCACACCTGTTCGTGATAAAAAGTCAACAAACTAGGAATAGAAGGGAGCCTCTTTGACCTGTTTAAAGGACATCTGTAATTTCCAAATGCTGCTGTATCAAATCATTACAAACTTAGTTGTTTAAAACAACATAAATGGGGACTTCCCTGGTTGCGCAGTGGTTAAGAATCCACCTGCCAATGCAGGGGGACACGGGTTCGAGGCCTGGTCTGGGAGGATTCCACATGCCGTGGAGCAACTGAGCCCATGCGCCACAACTACTGAGCCTGCGCTCTGGAGCCCGCCAGCCACAGCTACTGAGCCCACGTGCCACAACAACTGAAGCCTGTGCACCTAGAGCCTGTGCTCCACAATGGGAGAAGCCACCACAATGAGAAGCCCACGCACTGCAATGAAGAGTAGCCCCCGCTTGCCGCAACTAGAGAAAGACTGCACGCAGCAATGAAGACCCAACGCAGCTAATCAATCGATAAATAAATAAAAGAAATAAACCACACAAATGTATCATCTAACAGTTCTGGAGGTCAGAAGTCTGACATGAGTCTCACTGGACTAAAAGTGTCCACAGAGCTGGTTCCTTCTTCAGGCTCTAAGGGAGAATCTGTTTCCTTGCCCTTTCCTGCTGCTAGAGGCGCCTGCATTCTTGGCTCCTGACCTCCTTCCTCCATCTTCAAAGGTCAGCAGCTGTGGATTGAGTCCTTCTCTCATTGCCTCACACCGACCTCTTCTGACGCCCTCTGCCACTTTAGAGGACACTTGTAATTACAATGGGGCCACCTGGAAAATCCACGTTAATCTCACTATCTTAAGGTCAGCTGATTAGCAACCTCAATTCCCCTTTGCCATGTAACCTGACACATTCATGATTCCAGGGATAAAGACACAGACATCTTTGGTTTGGGAGCATTATTCTGCCTGTGACAGCATCAATGAAAAACATAAGCCAGCATCATAGTTCACAATGGATGACTGAATGCTTCCCACTAAAATCAGGAACAAGGCAAGGATATCTGCTCTTGCCACTTCTCAACATTGTACTGATGTGCAATAAGGCATACACGCACACACACGGCAGTATACATATTGGAAAGGAGTAAAAATAAGTAAAAATGTTCTTATTCACAGATGGTGTGATCCTATATGTGGCTTATCCTAAGGAATCCAGATACACACACATACCTGGAACTAATAAGTTCAGTAAGGTCCTAGAACACAAGATTAACAAGAGAAATCTGTTGTATTTGCACATACTAATGACAGTCTGAAAACGAAATTAAAACAACTCCATAATAGCATCAAAACTAACAAAATACTTAGAAATGATCAAAATTAGTGCAAGATTTATACACTGCAAACTAAGAGAAAGAAGATGTAAGTAAATGGAAAGATCCTATAATCCTTGATTAGAAGATCTTTGTGATCTTGGGTTAGGCAAAGAGTTCTCAGACACCACACCAAAATCATGAGCCATGAGAGAAAAAAACTGATAAATTTTGGACTTCATTAAAATAAACTTTCGTACTTCAAAAGACAACATGAAAAAAAGGCGACAAACCACGAACAGAAAAATATCTGCAAATGTTATCCTTGATAATCCATAATATATAAAGTCTCATATCCATAATATATAGTGTTGCAACTCAGTAAGGAGTCAACTCAGTTAAAAAATGAACAAAAGTCTTGAACAGACACTTCACCAAAGAAGATATAAGAATGCCAACAACAAACACATGAATAGGTGCCCAATATCAATTGTCAGAGAAACAGAAGAGCTAAAAAACAAAAGAAAACAAAACTGACCATACCAAATAGTAGTGAGGATGTGGAATTGGAATTCTCGTAATTTGTAAAATGATACAATTATTTTGGAAAACAGTTTTTTAAAAACTAGACATAAATACTATGTGAACCAGTAATTCCACTCCTAAGAATCTACCCAAGAGGAGTGAAAGCTACGTCCACACAAAAACTCATACACAAATGTTCATGGCAACATTATTCATAATAACCCCAAAATAGGAACAAACCAGATGCCTATCATCTGATGAATGAATAAACAAATGTTGCAAATCCATAAAACAGAATATTGTCCAGCCATAACAAGGAATGAAGTACTGATATACACTATGTAGATGAACCCTGAAAACATGCTCAGTGCAAAAGGTGAGATACAGAAGGCCACCGATTGTATGGGGATGTTCTAAAGCTGGACTGTGCATGTGGCTGCACAGCTGTACACATTTACTAAGAATCACTGAATTTTATATCGACAGTGGGTGAACTTTATGGTGTGAGAATTGTACATCAATCAAGCTGTTTTAGAAACAATCGTTGGGTAAAGGCACCACAATTAATACTTTATTACATTATCCCAACATACTTCTAGAAAAATATTTCAGCTTAGACAAAATGAAATGAAAGAGGAAAAAAGATAACACTTACAATAGTATCAAAAGTAACAACCGGGCTTCCCTGGTGGCGCCGTGGTTGAGAGTCCGCCTGCCGATGCAGGGGACACGGGTTCGTGCCCCGGTCCGGGAAGATCCCACATGCTGCGGAGCTGCTGGGCCCGTGAGCCATGGCTGCTGAGCCTGTGTGTCCGGAGCCTGTGCTCCGCAATGGGAGAGGCCACAACAGTGAGAGGCCCGCATACCGCAAAAAAAAAAAAAAAAAAAGTAACAACCAGGGCTTCCCTGGTGACGCAGTGGTTGAGAATCTGCCTGCTAATGCAGGGGACATGGGTTTGAGCTCTGGTCTGGGAGGATCCCACATGCCGCGGAGCAACTAGGCCCGTGAGCCACAACTACTGAGCCTGCGTGTCTGGAGCCTGTGCTCCGCAACGAGAGGTCACGATAGTGAGAGGCCCGCGCACCGCGATGAAGAGTGGCCCCCGCTTGCCACAACTAGAGAAAGCCCTCACACAGAAACGAAGACCCAACACAGCAAAAATAAATAAACTCCTACCCCCAACATCTTCTTTAAAAATAAAAAAAAGTAACAACCACCTACAGGAAAAAAAAAATCTAAAAAATATATGCAAGATCGTAACATGGAAATCTACAAAAACACCACTGAAAGAAACTGAAGACGACCTAATTATGCCATGTCCACAGACTGGAAGACTCAAACTGCAACACAAGTCAAACCTGGACAGGCTGCTCCCACCGTAGACAAGGAAACACATGGACCACGAAGAGCCTGGAAGCTCTTGCAGACAGAGGAGGATCTGCTCTGCCTCCATGGTTCAGGGGGAGCCCAGAAAGGGCCAGGCTATGCGGCCCCTGACCACGTCAAGGGTGGCGTCCAGGAGTGAAGAGGGAAGGAAAGCCACTGCACTAAATGTGGGGAGGCGATCATAACCCACCAAAAAGAATGAAACTTGAGCATCACCTCACTCTTAGGAAGTGAAAGGGTGGCCCAAAGACGTCACAGAGAAAGGTAGGGCAGTGACGCGTTCACACAGTATTTTAAGAGAATACACTCAAGTCCATGTGCTGAACGGGACCTGAAATCATGATACATACATCAGCCTAGATAAAAAAAACTTTTTTTGCAGTTTTTCCATTTAAGGAACACCTTATGAGACCATGTTAAAATTAAGAACTCTCACCAGAATCACAATGAAGAGAATGGAGGCAAACCACAGTGCAGAAGACAACACTGGCCACACATACCTAACAAGGGGCTTCCATCCAGCATACAGTTTTAAAAAAAACATAAGTTACACTGACAGCAAAAGACTTAAACATGTACTTTACAGAAAAGGACAATCCACTGGCCAATGAACCTCCCTGTGAACAGCTGCCATCATTAGTGATTGAACAAACACAGGACAATGAAAGCCACTGTCCCCCCACCTTCAGGGCTGAGAAGACAGGGTGGGGGTGGTGTTGAGGGCACCCCTATTGGCTCCAGGAAGGTGTGACCCCTAACTACCCCGGAAGGGGTTGGCCTTACCTGCAAGGATGACACAGGCTGGTCCCAGTGGGTCCACTCAGGACCACAGGAACGCACAAGGGCCCCACAGGGTCGTAGCACCACGACAGGAAGGAGGGAAGGGATGCTATGACTTGGCACACGAGTGGCTGGGCCTGGGGCTTCTGTACAACACCATTTCCACAAAGACCAGAAACCAGACTCCTCGGGGGGACCCTCGGGGGTGAACTGTAAAGAGAGACCAGGGCAGTAGTCAGCCTGGGTCAGGACTGGCCGCTTTGGGGGAGCAGGGACAGAGCTGGCCCCGGGCGGCCAGAACAGAGGTCTTTTCTGAACTCAGCAGGCTGAACACCAGTGTTACCGCAGGACTCGAGAAAGGTTTACAAATACCTAACCTGCCTGCCACAGTCCCGATAAGGGTTCTCTGCCACACAAGCTCGACTGGGGATTTACAGCAAGTTTCCAGCCCCAACCCTCCAAGTGTGAGGAGACAGGAATACTAACCCTCCTTCCAGTCCACGTGCGTCTGGCCCGCATGCAGAGAGCTTCCCAGTGAAGAGGCCCCATGGCCCCGGACTCCTGCTGAGTCCGCACTTTCTACTGTGTAAATGTATGTTTACCGTGTAAATTTCTGGGTGTGGACTTTCTCCCTGCAGATCTATAATTTCTCAGAAGAGAAGCTGAGAAACGACCTGGAAAAAAATCAAAGCTCAATAAAGGGAGGAAGACAAAGCCGCCCCTCGGCACTGCTGCAGGATGAGCTGGGGAGGGGGCGCCACGAGGTTGGGGGCGGGGCTGGCCTCCAGCCTCTCCTGGGCCCGGACAGCTCCTGCGTACCTCACTTCTTCTCTCCTCACCCATGCACCTTTCAGGAGGCAGACCTGACTCCTCCTCTGCCTCACCAAGAGGTTCAAGAGTCTCCTAAAGCTTGACAAGCCTTGCCCTCCCCAGACTCAGTTTTGCCTTTTTCAGTGCCTTCTGGCCCCTTCCCGCACAGGCCCCCCGCCCCAGGCAGAGCAGAGGGACTGGTGGGCAGGCACGTCTGGCAGCCAGAGGAAGGGTCCTCAGCAAAGGAGGAAGGGGTGGCTGGAGGGCAGCATGGTACCTGGCAGCCTGGGGTAGATGTGGTCAGATCTGGAAGAGCAGAGCCCAGGACTCCCCAGGTGGAGGGGAGGATGGTGCCCTGAATCAAGCAGCCATACCCCTTCTTACCATGTCTGACCTGTGGCTGACCTCAGGCTGGGCACTGGGTACCTGTCCCAGGGCCTGTGCAGTGCAGGGTGGCCGTGGCCCCAAAGGAGCCCTGAAGGGCAGGACGGGGCCCACTGCTGGTGGGGGCTGGTCTCACAGCCACAAGACCTCGCGCCCGAGGCCAGCCATCCCCCACTCTCTTCCTGGGAGGACATTGTTGGGGAAAACAAACACAAAGTGGCCGGGGCCCTGCCAAGCATTCCTAGAAGAGGCTAGGGGGAGGGGCAGTGGCCAGACAGCAGCTGACCCTGAGGTCACGGGAGAAGCCAAGGCTGGGCCAGGCCCCTGGCAGCTTGAACAAGGACCCCACCCAGGCAGTTAGGAAATGGGGAGGAGGGGGGGAGTGGTCAGCATGCCGGGGGTAGATGGGCAGGCCCATTTGGAGACGTGTGGTTCCTGCTTAACTCCCACATGGCCATCTGCTGGGAGGGAAGACCCTAGGAGCCCCCTGAGGGGCCCCTACCCACAGGCAGGGCAGCTGGCTGAGCACCAGCTCCTCACAGGCTGCTCCAAGGGAGACCCCCCCCCCCCCAGTATTGCCTGCAGCCCCAGCTCTGCTCCACCCAGCCCTGCAGGGGGATGGGAAGATGGGCGGGTTGGGAAGATGGGGGTATGGGCCCCTGTTGTCCCTTAGAGCTGCACCCCGGGCCACCTTGCACCCTGAAGATGCGTCAGGGCAGATGCAGCCCCCAGCCTGTCCCCTGTGCCATCTGCACCCTGGGCCCCAGTGCTGATGCTGGCAGCCCGGCAGGAGGGGGTTAATGGAGCTGGGGCCAGCAGGCTGGGCTGGCCAGTGACAAGGGTGCTGGCTGTCCCAGAGGCAGTGGGGAAATCCAGAGGGCAGGAGCAGCCGGCCCCAACAGACGCGCCCCACTCCCTGCCCGCCTGCGGACTGCTCTGCACGAGGGATGGCCCTGAGGAGAGGTGAGGCCCCCACGTGCCCCAGCCACTCACTTCAGGGTGGGGGCGGCGACCATGTGCCCCCAAGCTCACTGGGGTAGGGGCTGCCCCCAGGGAGGGCTCAGCTTTAGGTGGGCTGGGGCTCTGGGAGCCCATGGAGGAAATGTGGCCACTCAGGGTGGTGGGGTGCCTGGCCCTGGAGAATCGCTGTTGCCTCCTGCTCCCTCCTCTCCTACCCGAGGGCCCAGGCTGGCAGCGCAGGGGAGGAAGGGCACCCACACTGCTACCCCAGGGGCCCTGCCTTAGACCCTCCACTGGGCCAGGGCATGCTGCCTTCCCAGCTGCTCGGAGGCCAGTCCATTGCCACTCTGTCCCCTCTCGGAGCCTAGCCCAATCCAGCTGGCGTGTCCACCCTGGGACCCGGAACTCTCAGAGACCAGAGAGAGGCCTGATGTGGTGGGCAGCCCAGTGCCCAGTGGAACTTATGGGGATTGTTGCTGTGAAGCCTGGCATCCTTTGTCCTGTGCCACTACCCAACCTCCGGTGGGTCAGTGGCCTGGGGTCCCCATCTGCCCTTGAGGCCTGCACCCTCTTCCTCTCCCCACACCAGCACTGGGCCAAGTGCCTGGGTGCATGCCGGACACACCATGGAGGTGAGTACCCCCCAGTCAGGGGTCTAGCTGGGGCAGCGGGCATCCAGCTCACTGTCCAGACAATCAGGGCAGCAAGTGCATACCCACCCGAGCCTGCTCCAGAACGCTCTCTCACACTTTCCTCCAGGCCTGCCTGGCAGCCTAGCCTGGCTTGAGTGTCCACCTTGGGGACGCAGATGAACACACGGCCTAGTGGCCAGGTCCCCAGCCTTCAGTTTTCTCTGGAACAGGCACTGCCACCCCGTTGGTCCTGTGGGGTGGAAAGGGCAGTTGGTTTTGAACCAGAGAACATCCCAGTCGTCCTGCCTGGTCTCCGCTTCCCATTTAAGTGGGGGACCCAGATCTCAGCTCATACCTTCTCTGGTCCGGTCAGCAGTGCCTTCTCTAAATAGTTGTGTGCTGTGGTCCAGGTGTGTGGCTGAGGCCTGGAAGGTTCCATGTCTTGCTTGCCCTGGGCTTACATCCTGGGCTGCCTCAGTGCTGCCTCCCCAAGCCCCTCTCCCCACAGGAGGCCCGGCCCTGGTGGTGCTGCTAGTCTCCTGGGCAGTGCTGGGCTCCCACAGCCTGGAGGAAGTGGAGTCTGCGGCACCAGCAGACCCTGAGGGCCCCCAGTGCCCAGCCATCTGCTCCTGTGGCCACGACGACTACACAGATGAGCTCAGCGTCTTCTGCAGCTCTCGGAACCTCACGCGGCTGCCCAGCGGCATCCCGGACGGCACCAGGGCCCTGTGGCTGGATGGAAACAACTTCTCCTTCATTCCCGCGGCCACCTTCCGGAACCTCTCCAGCCTGGGCTTCCTCAACCTGCAGGGCAGCGGGCTGGCCAGCCTGGAGCCGCAGGCGCTGCTGGGCCTGCAGAACCTGTACCACCTGCACCTGGAGCGGAACCAGCTGCGCAGCCTGGCAGCCCGCACCTTCCTGCACACGCCGGGCCTGGCCTCGCTCGGCCTCAACAACAACCTGCTCAGCCGGGTAGACGAGGACCTCTTCAGGGGCCTTGCCCACCTCTGGGACCTCAACCTGGGCTGGAACAGCCTGGCCGTGCTGCCCGACACTGCATTCCAGGACCTGGCCAGCCTACGCGAGCTAGTGCTGGCGGGCAACAAGCTGGCCTACTTGCAGCCCGCGCTCTTCTGCGGCCTCAGTGAGCTCCGCGAGCTGGACCTGAGCAGGAATGCCCTGCGGAGCGTCAAACCCAATGTCTTCGTCAAGTTGCCCAAGCTCCAGAAGCTCTACCTGGACCACAACCTCATCACCGCTGTGGCCCCAGGTGCCTTCCTGGGCATGAAGGCGCTGCGCTGGCTGGACCTGTCACACAACCGCGTGGGTGGCCTCCTGGAGGACACCTTCCCGGGGCTGCTGGGCCTGCACGTTCTGCGCCTCTCACACAATGCCATCGCCGGCCTACGGCCCCGGACCTTCAAGGACCTTCACTTCCTGGAGGAGCTGCAGCTTGGCTACAACCGTATCCGGCAGCTGCCGGAAGAGGCCTTCGAGGGCCTGGACCAGCTGGAGGTGCTGGCGCTCAACAACAACCAGCTACAGGAGCTCAAGGCAGGCGTCTTCCTGGGCCTCTACAACCTGGCCGTCATGAACCTCTCTGGCAACTGTCTGAGGAACCTTCCAGAGCAGGCATTCCAGGGCCTGGGCAAGCTGCACAGCCTGCACCTGGAGGGCAGCTGCCTGGGCTGCCTCGGCCCACACACCTTCACCGGCCTCTCGGGGCTGCGCCGGCTCTTCCTCAAGGACAACGGCATTGCGGCCATCGATGAGCAGAGCCTGGGGGGGCTGGCCGAGCTGCTAGAGCTGGACCTCACCTCCAACCAGCTCACGCACCTGCCTGGCCAGCTCTTCCAGGGCCTCAGCCACCTGGAGTACCTCCTCCTGTCCCGCAACCGGCTGTCTGCGCTATCGGTGGATGCCCTGGGGCCCCTGCAGCGCATCTTCTGGCTGGATGTGTCGCACAACCGCCTGGAGGCGCTGCCTGAGACTGTGCTCGCGCCACTGGGGCGGCTGCGCTACCTCAGCCTCCGGAACAACTCGCTGCGGACCTTTGTGCCGCAGCCCCCCGGCCTGGAGCGCCTGTGGCTCGAGGGCAACCCCTGGGACTGCGGCTGCCCCCTCAAGGCCCTGAGGGCCTTCACCCTGCAGCACCCGGGCGTCGTGCCCCGCTTCGTCCAGGCCATGGCAGAGGGAGATGACGGCCACCAGCCGCCCGCATACGCCTACAACAACATCACCTGCGCCAGTCCCCCCAGCATCTCGGGCCTTGACCTGCGCGACATCGGCGAGGCCCACTTTGCCCACTGCTGACCCGAAGCTGCCCTGCGGTCTGGACGGGCCCTTGCCACCCCAGGGGACATGGACCTGGGACCTGTGGGCCCCAGCCTGGTCCCTGAGGGCCTGACCGGGAGGGTCGGGGACACAGCCTCCCCAACTATCAATTAAAAGCAACCCAATAAATGTGGCCACGTATGAGGTTGTGCGGGGAGCTCAGGGAGGGAGGAGTGCTGGCTGGGCCGCAGGCCCCTCTATGCCATGCCTGCCCCACCTCTGGCTGCCTTGGTCCCACATGCCCAACCACAACCCTTCCTGTCCTGTGCCCAGACAATTCTCGTCCACTAGTCCCCAGGCCCCATCCCCGCCTGAGGAGCGGGGGGCACTTACTCAGGTCCTCCAGGAACCTCGGCATCTCAGCCCCCTCGCTGGGCAGCGTCCTTGGAGGTGGCCTGGTCCTGGGAAGCCGGGGCCCAGCTGCTCCTGCTGGGGCCAGCCTGGGGCCAGAGGGGGTGCAGACCCTCACTCTCCAGGTCCCTGTGCTCCTGGCCAAACCCCTCAACAGTTCTGCCCCTGCTCCCCCCACCCCCACAAGAAACATCCATCCTTGGTACACTCCTCGCCTCCCCATCTGCCCCCAAGAAGTGATATCTGAGGGCTGCTTCCCCAGGCCCCCTGCCACCCGTGCCCCAGGGACCGTTCCACATTCTCTACTGAGCACCCCACCTCTCCCATTGGGAAGAACAGCACACCATGCCACCATCCTGCTTTCCAGAACCTCCCCCTCCTGGCCTTCCTTGAAGCCGTGCAGGGAAAACTCCTGGGACTCTGTTTCACACTCACCTTTCTGCTCTTCAGCTCAACCCTTCAGGCCCACAGCACGGAGGGCGGGGCGGGCACTTAGCTCTCACTGGGCCAAGCATGGCCACTCACACATTGCAAGTTACCTGACAAACTCTCCCCAAACGTATCTTCACCAGAGTCTCCAGGAGCCTGTCGATGACAGGGCTGTTGGCCCAGTTCCTGGGACTTAGGGAGTGGACACTGTCTGCCACAGGACGTGGTGACACTAAGCCAGAGAGGCGGGACCAGAGCAGAATGATCTAGAAAGGTCAGACCTGTAACCACGGCGGTGGGACGGGTTTATTTTGGGCTCCTCTGAATTACAAGTTTGACACCTTCCTGGGTGCTGCTGCCTATTTCACCAGGATTATAGGCCCAGCGCGCTCCCAGACACACAAGCTTTGTGAACAACGTGGAGACTTGGCTGTCGGGAGCAGCCCGTCTATCTGGGGCATGTGAGTACTGAGCTGCACCACCAGGGACGTCAGGCCACGGCATCGCGACCTCACGCTATCCCCGGGCCCTGCCACAGGCCGACCAGGCGGAACCACTGACTGTCAGTGGCTCTGATGCTGAGATGCTGCTGAAGCACCAGAAACGTCCAGGGCAGGCCCACGGGGAGAGGAGCACATGGTGACGGCAACCCAGGGCCACGGGTTTCAGGAACTGTGCCACCACCTCTGTTCCAGGCTGTGAGCATGAGCCCCACAGCACACAGAGGAGACACTCAAAACTGCCTTGGTCAGGAGAGTCCAACAGGCGCCTCATTCAGAATCTTCTGGGCTATGCAAGAGAGCGCAGGAAACGCGGGGCTCTCGGGGAACCCCCGGATGAAGTCTCGGCCCTCCTCCAGGCTCCGCGTGAGCTCGGGGTCCAGGGGCACAGAGCCTGGGAGAGAGAAAGGAAGGGGGCAGAGAAGGGGCCAGGTGGTGAGAGCAAAGCCCGGGGCCGGGAGGCCATGTCCACACTCCCCACGGCCCAGGAGCCCACTGGCAGTGCCGCTTTAACCGAGAGCAGACACCTCTTGCTGAGGTGCCTGGCAGGAATGTACTCTTGGCCTCAGTCTCCACTGGAACGGCCAGCAACCCACCCAGCAGGCCCGGCCCCACCACCTCTCAGGCTCCGGCCACTGTAAGAAAGCACAGGGTGAGTGCTGGGGACATGGTCCCGTGCCACTGGCGTCCCTGATACAGGCTTGCAGAGCCTCAGCCGCCCCTCTGCACCTCCGTGGTCTCAGCAGGTGTCTTAGCCGCAGACACCTGCTCAAAGCCTGGGGGGCTGCCTCTCTCCAGTTGGTGGGAACCAACTTGTTAGAGATGAGCTGACACTCGCAGCTCAGGGAGGACAGGACTTTCCACCCTCCTCTCCTCTTCCCTGGGTGCAGGAGGCGTAGAGAGGTAAGGCCACCTAGAGCAGGGGCCCCGGGGCAGCCCTGGCTCGCTTACCCAGGAAGGGGACTCCAGCGTGTCTGGCCAGCTCTTCGCCGCCTCCCCTGGAGAAGACGTTGGTGCACTCCTAGAACACAGAGGTGCGGGGTCCACCTCCAGGCCTCTCACCACCCTCAAAGGGGATAGGCCGACCACCCACACCCCCGACTTCCTGCGACTTCCTACAACTCACCGCGCAGTGTGGGCAGACGAAGCCGCTCATGTTCTCCACGACCCCGATCACCCGCAACCCCACCTTCTTACAGAAGGTCAGCTCCCGCCTCACATCCCCCACGGACACTGCCTGGAGACCAGGAAAGAGACGGGACCAGCTGATGGGCATCCCGAAAACTCAGCCAAGATGAGCAGAAAGAGTAGGGCAAAGCGCCTGCCCCAGGGTGAGGGTGCTCCCGTAGTACCTGGGGCGTGGTGACCACGAGGGCCCCCAGGGGGCTGTAGGGGCGCAGGGTGTCCACCACGGCCATGTGCTCATCAGAGGTCCCTGGGGGCGTGTCCACAACCAGGTAGTCCAGCTGCCCCCAGGCCACATCGGACACAAACTGCTTTATCAGTGCTGTGGAGACCCAGGGTGGCCCGGGGTCGGGGAGAGAGCAGGCGAGGCAGGGTCTCACAAAGGGGTCACACGAAGCCCGCTGCCTCCTCCCAGCCCTGGGGCAGGGTGGTGTCTGTGGGTTCCGGTACAACCGGGCACCCCGAGAGCTGCGTGTGCCATTCCTCACCAGGGGCAGGATGAGTACAGCAAGGTGGGGAGACCCTTCCCACCCCACCCCACCCCTAGGACTTCTGATCGGGCCTTAGCTGAGGATGGCTAGTGCGGATCCTCCTGGGGTAGGCATCTGTACCTGAGAGAGGTGGCCTGTGGTGGAATGCCACGCCGGTGTGTCCTGGAAGCAGCCCCCACCCTGAGCTTGCTCTCACACCCGGCAGCCTCGCTCTGCCCACCAGAGGGAGTTTAATGCCATCTGCTTGTTCAAAGGCACCAGAGCCCCACCAGGCACCCCACACTGGGTGGTCTGAGCCCCAGGGGATGGACCAGGTGGCTGAAGGCTTCACAGCTGAGTCTCATGCTCTTGCCCCCCAGGCCCGCTGTCCGAATACTTGCGGGCTGACTGCTTAGGTGCACAGCGGGAGAGTCTTGGAAATGAAAAGGCCAGCACTACTGTCTTTCGAACTTTACCCGAGGCTGGTGCTGTGGGGGGAGGGCTGTGTGGAGGAGAGCCAGCAGCCCTGGGGCTTCTGCACCAAGAGGGCAGCTGGGGAGGCCAGCAGGCTGACAGTGCTGTCTCCTGTCCGGTCATTACCGTTCTTCTTGGGGCCTCTCCACACCACTGCCTCATCCGGCTTCTCTAGCAGGAAGCCCACAGACATGAGGGAGATGCTCTGCTCCTGGTCCACGAAGACAGGCACCCAGCCACTGTCGCACTGATGCACAGCCTTGCCCTGCACCTGGAGCATGCGGGGGATGCTGGGGCCACACAGGTCCACGTCGAGGATACCCACCTGCAAGGAGGCGGGACGTCCACGCGGCATGCAGGGAACCGGCCAAGGCCCACAAGGGGCAGGGGTGGCGGCTCAGGAGATGGGAGGCACTCACCTTCTTGCCCGCGTGGCGCAGGGCCAGGGCCAGCTCCGTGGAGATGGTGCTTTTCCCAACACCCCCCTTTCCCGAAAGAACGAGGATGATGTGCCGGACGCCGGCCAGGTTTCCAGGCTCTAGTCAGAAGGACAACAGGGGAGGAGGGCAGGGCTCTCCTTCATACCAGCTGCCCTCCATGTTCATTCACTGCGGGATCACCAGATATTCCTACATCCCAGATCCTGAGACCAGGGCAGTCCTGAGACCTGCTCCATCACCCCGGCGTGAGCAAACACGCCCCTGTGAAAGGGCTTCCAGCAGGCCCCAGACCCAACCTACCAGTTCCTCAAAAATGGCTGCTCCCACTCTGTCTGGAGTGGGGCTGCTGGGGCAGGAAATGCCTCAAACTGCTCCTCTTTCCAGCATGCACACCTGTGAGCTCATGTGCACCTGTGAGCTCATGCGCACAAGGCCAATTCAAGCCAAAGACTCCCAGCTGATTCCAAGGGAAATGGGTGGAGACTAACGTAAATAGGGTGCTCGTTACAGTCAGGAGGTACATCTGTGCCAGGGCAGCACTCACGGCTCTGAGGTCTGACTGTAGGTGCCCAACCCCCTCCCCTGGGGTCAGAAGAGGCACTCAAGGCAGCCCTGGCCTCCAGTTCTCAGGAGGGAGGCCACAGGTCTGGGGAAGCAACCACAATCGTGTGGGTGCGGATGTCAGGTCACCTGGATGGCTGAAGATCGTGCCTTCAGAAACCCTGGGTACGCAAGGGTGGCCAAGGCATCAGTGCCATGCCCCAGGCAGGCCCGGGTCCAACCACTCTGGGAAGCCCTGTTGGTCGCTCTGCCCCAGCTGCTCTTCCTTTCAATGAGCCTGAAATGCCACCCTGTAAATACTCACCATTCCAATCCCTGCCTCCCCACAGCGGCTGCCATCTGCATACAAACAACCCTCAAACCCCCGGCAAAATGCCCACCTTCTTGCCCCAGCGCCCTCAGGACCTCACCATCGAGACTCCTGCCTGGCCTACAGCAAGCTGCTCACTCACTCCACCACCCTCACTGCATACCCAGGTCCCCAGGAGGGGCTCAACGAAAGGTGAGTAAACACTGACCCCCCTCCTGACCCATCTCTCATGGGTAGGTTCAAAGGCCCCCGCCACCAAAGCCTCCCTAGAAACTCAAGAGTGCTCCTGGCCTGGCTTTCCAGCAGGTCCTTGTCACAAGTGCGTTCTAGCGCCTGTCCTGGGTCTCCGTCTGGTACTGGGGGCCGAGAGATCTTGTAAGGTGACAAGGAAAGGGCACCCCCCCCCAACCACCCAGATCATTGCCTACAAATACCTTGGACACCATGCCTCAGGCCACCTCTGCATCAACTTAAAAGGCTATTACTTAAATTGCTTTAATATCAAAAACTACTTGGGAATCAATTTCACCTTTCTTTGGTGTGGGGAGGGGTGCTCTGGTAGAAACTAGGGAAAGAACAAGCCAGATGTGGGTCCTGATTCCTACTCGCCCTTTGTGCGGGTGCTGCACTGCCAGGCCCCTAATAGTGAAGACTTGCTCTCCTCACTGGTGGGACTGGGGAACTTTATCTGCTTGAGCATCACACAGGACACTGCTGCTCCCAAGTCACCACTGCTCCCAAGTCACTGCTGCTCCCAAGTCACTTCTCACACAACAATCCTTAGGAGCCAACCAGAAGAAACTTCCACTTATAAATATACTGAAAAAGTTTATAAACAGATCATCAACGATAATCCGAGTGCCTATTAGATGTGAGAGGCAAAGGAAAGCAGTATCTCCCCATGGAGGGAAGTAAAGGGCCCTCTGTATGGATAAAAAGCCCAGTCAAACCTTAAGTCTGGTTCAACCAAACCATGACTATTTGATACGCTGGACAAATATGGAAGTTTTTATATGTAAAAAATCCTTCCAGAAAAATAAGAGGGACACCAGGAGTTGCCTCTGGGCACAGGGAGGTTTACTGCAAAGCCCGTTAGGCTTTTGTACTTTCCTACTTTCCATGTGTACTTCCCCCTTAGTTAAAAGAGAAACTTTCATCCATCAATCTAGAAGCTATTCCTCTCACCTTGTAGCAAGTCTGCCCTTATCATAACAAACTTTTTCAGGTTTTTCTCTCCAGTATTACGTTTATAATCCAATGGATGAATGCAGCGTTGTAAGAGCTTTGTGCTCATGGTACCACACCTGAGATCTTTTGGAAGATAACGTGGTTAAGCTGTGAGAATCCTATTGTGCCCAATGTACGTATTCCATCCCACGCAACTTCCCTTTAAATTATATATATATATATATATATATATACACACACACACACATATACACATATATATATATCAAGGCTTAAAAGACAAAATAATACTTCTACAAACAACTGCGAGTATGTGACGTTCCAATTTCTCCTTCTTAGAGTTCCTTATTCAAACAAGACTTCTTTCTAAGCGCCGTAATGACGCACGCGAGCACCTCTGAGACCTTTACACTGTAAATAAGACGGTGTGCTAAAACCCGGAGCCCTGACCAGCAGCTGCGGGCCGGCCCCTTCCCTCTTCCCTCGGTGCCCGCGGACCGAGAACGCCCCGCAGGCCAGTGCACTCACCTCCTGCCGCCTCCATCCCACCCGGGTGGTCGTACGGCTTCCAGCCACTTCCTCCTTGCACAGTCCGCCTCCCTGCCTGAATGAAGTGCTTTCGGACCAATGGGCAGCGCGACCCCCCCCACGACTCCTCTTGATAGGCCCACTCGCGCTACCCTCAGCCAATCAGATCGCACGAGGGGTTCACGAAAGTTCCGGCGCAGACGACGTACGGGACCTGGACCCACTTCCGTGTCAACGCCCCAGCGTGAGGCCGCTTCTTTTCCTCGCCCCGCGTCCAATGCGGGCCTTGTCTCCGACCGCTTGAGATGTGGCCAATGGGGACGTCGGGTCAGGATTGACAGATCCAGCAGCCTCTCAGCAAGAGGCGTGTGCCTCGAGGACCGCCCCTCCGCCGTAGCCCCGAGCCGCGCACGCTGCGGGGCCAATGCGGCGCAGGGGGCGGGCCGCGAGGGCGGGGATTGTTTACGTCTAGCTCCGGAGCGGAAAGTAGGGCACAGCAGGCCGGGTTGAGCGCAGCGGCGCAGGGCGGCTGCAGGTGAGCGGCGGGCCGCGTCCGCGCCTCCCTGGGTCTCCCGGGCCCGGCCGCCCCGCCCGGCTCGACCCCGCCGCGCCCGCCGACCTTTCGGAGCTGCGGGCGGCGGGGCCGGCGCGCCTTTGTTCCTGCGGCGGCATCGGCAGCGGCAGGGCCGGGCGAGGCTGCCGAGGCGCTGCGCCGCAGACCGGGCGGGGCGGCGGGCGGGAGGAACCCCGCAACCCCACCGATCCTGAGACAGTGAGATGCCTGATGGGGAAGCAACCCCTACTGCAGCGGGGTCAGTCTCGGGGTCGTGCATTGCGCGTGCACGGCCTGGCGCTTACTGTTGCTGCGGCGGTGGCGGGCGAGGATTAGGCCGGGCCCACTCTGGCCGGTTTCAGTAACCAACCCTGGTCTGCGGACGGGCTCCTATCCCTCAAAAGCTCTGTCTGCGCTAATTCACTGCCGCCCCTCGGGGTCGTGGCAGGGCCCTTCTGGGGATTTCAAACCAGGGCAGAGCCGGGAAGTAGACGATCACAGAGAGCGACTTATTACTGTAAGTCGGGCATGGAAGTTGAGAGCCAAAGAGGGGAGGGGAAAGCGTTGTGGGCAAAGGGCTGGAAAGAGCTACCAGCCGGAACAGGGCCGGAACTTGTAGGCTTTGTAGAATATTGTACTTTATTCTAAGAACAGTGGCAAGCCCTGAGGAGTTAACTCGTTAATTTAAAATTTTAAGATTTGTATTTCAAAAAAAGCTCGGTTGTAGTGAGTGAAGTGGGAGGAGCCAGAGCGAAGACGAGTTGTGTGCGGGTGGGGCAGGCAAGGTGGCAGCAGGGGTGGAGAGGGATTCAGGACATGTTTTGGAGACGGTGTGGGGCGCGGAGGGCTGTGAGGCCGTGGTGGGAGGGAGGAAAGAAGTGTTGGGGATGACTGCTGTGTGTCTGGCATGAGGAACTCGGAGGCTAGAGATGCCGTTTGTCAAAATGGAGAATGGAGGAGGGGCAGGCAAGGTTTGAGATGCTTGAGGGATGTGCAGGAGGGACACTTGCAATCCTGAGGCCGAGCTCGGAGAGGGGCTGAGCTAGGCATTTGAGAGTCATGGATGTCAGGATGGCATTCCATGCTCTCCACCTGGGTTTCATCAAGGTACTCGGACACTGGAGTGAGGTATGAGCTTGTGAAGAGAGTTCCGGACCCTGGGTGGGCTGGGGGCCAAGTGCAGGGGGTGCTGGGGGACCTACTGGTGTGTCATATGTCTTTCTTTGCTCAGACCTTGTGCTTTCTTCCAGATCCTGCCCACCATGGCCAGGCGCCCACGGAGCAGCAGAGCATGGCATTTTGTCCTGAGTGCAGCTCGCCGAGATGCGGATGCCCGGGCCGTGGCTCTGGCAGGGTCCACCAACTGGGGCTACGACTCTGATGGGCAGGTAGGTTCCAGTGGGTGAGCATGGTGGGCATGGCTGGACTAAATATTGCCTGAACTGAGACTGAAAGAGAAAGATGCCTCTGAGGGCAGAAAACAGGGCCAGGCTTGTCGGACCGTCCCCTGCGTGCACTCTGCTTCTGCTCCCCTAGGCTCTTCACACGGTTAAGGACACACGTGGCCCTGGGTAGCAGGACCTCAAGGCATATACTACGTTCCTCTGTAGACTTTTTTCTTTGAAGAGGGTGTCAGTGGGTACTTTGGTCAGTTCATTTAACGAAAACTTCTCCATTCTATTTACCCAACCGCTTTTCAAGGGTAGCTGTTGTTACCTCTGTGTGCAACCTTCTGGACGTTTTCTCTGCCTGTTGAAGTCTGTACTCAACGTTTGTGTATATGCATCTAAAAAAAGAATTTTGATCTTTAAAGACCGACATTCCTGAGCCTTCCTGTGCTCAGGACCCTGAGCTCTGCAAGGCCCAGGAATACAGAGGCCGTGAGGAGGGCGGCTCAGCTGTCTGTCTGCAGTGGAGGTTCCTGATGGACCTGAGGGGTTTGCAACCAGAGCCTCACCACGCTGACTCCCGCCACAGGGGTGGGGTGGTGGGGCTCTGTGGCCTCTGTGCCTGCCGTGGGGGGCATGTGGGGAGGGCTTCACAAGTCAGTTTCCTGAACCTCTCAGACCAGAGCTGGGCTTTGGCTTTGCCCTGAGTCACCTCTGTTGTTTTCAGGGTGATCTTCGGGTGACTTGGTTCTGCTCTGTCACAGCCACCCTGCCTGGGTGCCCTGGCTCAGCCAGGTGTCTGGGTGGGGACAGGTGCCTATCCTCCCCAGCCCTCAGTGAGGGCAGCTGAGTCCCGTGGAAGCACCAGGGCTTGGGGCAGAATTGGAGGCGACATCCTGGGTCCCCTTTCTGGGGCCTCCCTTAGCTCCCTGCCTGGGCCAGCGAGAGGCCTCGGCCTGCATTCCTGTCCCACCTCCAGCTTCCACTGACCACGTGGCCTGGAGCAGTCTTTTCTCCTGTCTGTCTCTGCCTCTCTGGCTCATCGCTGTGGGATGTGGGAGGCGTCCAGGGGCTGGGGGTGCAGTGTCTGATACACACCTGTGGCTCATCCGGTCACCTAATGGGCCCGGGGTACTTGTGTGCACGTGTGGATGGAGAGAGCGTGTCACCCCAGCACCTTTGAAGGCCGAACACACATGTCCTTGTCTCCGCTGCTCTAAGCTCTCCTTACAGCTTGTGGTGGGGCCGGGTCTGCCCTCTGCACAGGGGGTTGTGTGCTGGGTGCCAAGCAGTATGACCCCCGGGGCTAGCAGTGCTCAGGTCTGTGCCCCTGGCTCCTGACTCAGTGGGAAGGGATTGTCTCCTCTGGCAGCAGTGGGCCTGTCTTGGCTTGTGGGGGATCGCTCTTCCCCGTGAGCGGGGTGCTTTGGGCCTGCTGCCACTGTCCTCGCTGGCGTCTGTCTCCAACTGGGGCTCGGGCTCCTCGCTCCCTGAGCTGTCTCTGCCATCGGTTCCCAGAGCTCCTGTGTGGCACTTGGGGCTGAGTGTAATAACAAAGGAACTCAGTTCTGGTGGGAGGAGGCAGGTGAGCAGGACCCAGGAGAGCGTCAGGGAAGCCTACGAGAAAGGAAGAGAAGGAAGAGGACGCAGCATGAGAGGCTGAAAGAGCCTCTTTGAAATGGTATCCAAAAGCCATCCAGGGGCAAACAGACCCCCACTTCTGCCCCATGGGGACAGGGGTGGACAGGGCAGAGGAGGAGGCTGGGCAAGGAGGGGGTCTTATATTCTCTGACGAGAGTTAAGTCTGTGGGCTTTGTTCTAAGGGCAGCAGGATTCTCAGGGCAGCAGGATTCCCAGGTCTGAACAGGTCACCCAGACCACTGTGCAGAGGGCATTTCCGCGGGGCCCAGAGCAGCACCCAGAGGCCAAGAGAGTGAGGGTGGAGGCCAGAGCCCCACCAGGACCCCAGGCGAAGCTGGGAGGGCTCAGAGAGCAGGCATGCAGAGGCTGCCTGCACCCCTGGGGCCTGAGACTCCAGGCCCTCACTGGTCGGCCAGATGTCAGAGCCTGGGTGGGTGTCTTGAGGGGCCCACGTGGCTCCAGAACAGGAACAACAAGGTGTACAGAGGCACCCTCACTGGCCTCCAGGAGGGTCTGTGGGTCAGCTGGTCCCCGGAACCAGACCAGCTCAGCCTTAGCGTCTGGCCCCTGGGCCAAGATCAGGCCCTCAAGGCTTGGAGTCCATTCGGTGAGGACTGAGAGCCACACGCAGAGGGCCAAGGCCCAACTGAATGTTTTCCTGCCACAGCCTGAGACCATGGGGCTTGCTCGTCAGGGTCCTGTGATGGGGGTTGAGAGCACACCCTTGCACGGACAAGGGGACCACGGCCATCGGCCCCCCTGGAGCCCAGCTGCTGCCACGGGGAGACCAGGTGCCTTCATTAGGTCAGCAACGGACTTTGCTGTCACGCTCCCATTTATCACAATCTAGATGTTCTCTGGACAACGACGATGGCTAAACATGCAGCCCTGTCTTGGGGCTTATTAGTGGCTAGGCCTCCGGGGCCCTCCACTCCACTCCCAGGAAGCCACCGGCGTGGTAGGCCTTTGGCAAGGAGGCCCCCTTGCAGCTCCTGAGCCAGAAAAGATGTCCAGGGTCACTGTGGCTGGCTGGCTGAGCCCTTGAGACCTGAGAAGGCCCTTTGAGGCCAAAGCCCCAGATCCCTTCCTTGGGGCGTGCGGCCGTTCACCCGTGGGCCTGGGGGGGGTGGCAGGGCAGGTGGGGGAAGGGGTCGGTTGGGCCGGCAGAGGGCAGGAGGCAGGAACAGCTGGCCCTTTCCCCTCAGCACAGCGACTCAGATTCCGACCCCGAGTATGCATCTCTGCCGTCATCCATCCCCAGCGCCGTGCCTGTGACTGGGGAGTCCTTCTGCGACTGTGACAGTCAGAGTGAGGCCTTCTGCGGCAGTCTGCACGCCGCCCACCGGGGCAGGGACTGCCGCTGCGGGGAGGAGGACGAGTGTGAGTGTGGGGGCCTGCGGCGGGTGGGCGGACCTCTGGGCTAGGGGGGGAGCCTGGCGAGCCTGGGCCTCTTCTCTCACAGATTTTGACTGGGTCTGGGATGACCTGAATAAGTCCTCGGCCACCCTGCTGAGCTGTGACAACCGGAAGGTCAACTTCCACATGGAATACAGCTGTGGCACAGCGGCCATCCGGGGTACAAAGGAGCTGGGGGAGGGCCAGCACTTCTGGGAGATCAAGATGACCTCGCCCGTCTATGGCACTGACATGGTAAGTGGCCGGCAGGGTTGGGGGAGGGGTGCCGGGCACCTTGGTCCCCAGCCCCCTCTCCTCTGCCAGTTCTGCCGTTTCCAGATGGTGGGCATCGGGACATCGGACGTGGACCTGGACAAGTACCACCACACGTTCTGCAGCCTGCTCGGCCGGGACGAGGACAGCTGGGGCCTCTCCTACACGGGTGCGTGGGGCCCCCAGGGTGGGCAGGGCTGGGGGGCCCCGAGGCTGCAGGGCTCACCCTGACCCTGCTGCCCCCAGGCCTCCTCCACCACAAGGGCGACAAGACGAGCTTCTCCTCCCGGTTCGGCCAGGGCTCCATCATTGGCGTGCACCTGGACACCTGGCATGGGACGCTGACCTTTTTTAAGAACAGGAAGTGCATAGGTGAGGAGGTGACTCTGACACATGCCCGCAGAGCGTGGCTGCCACTGAGCTCCTGGTGAGGTTGAGGGCCCTGAAAGGCTATCCTTGCAAGGCCATCCTTGCATCCCTGAGGTCTCAGGGTCCCCAGAACCGGGCAAGGCCGGGGGGTAGGTGGAAATCCCAGCATCCTTCGTCCCCTTAGGAGAGCCTGAGCTTAGGGTTCAGGCTGTGCCACCTCCCCACCCCCAGGAGTGGCAGCCACCAAGCTGCAGAACAAGAGGTTCTACCCAATGGTGTGCTCCACGGCGGCCAAGAGCAGCATGAAGGTGATCCGCTCCTGTGCCAGCATCACCTCCCTGCAATACCTGTGCTGCTACCGCCTGCGCCAGCTGCGGCCTGACTCTGGGGACACGCTCGAGGGCCTGCCCCTGCCGCCCGGCCTCAAGCAGGTGCTGCACCACAAGCTGGGCTGGGTCCTGAGCATGAGCTGCGGCCACCGCAAGCCCCCCACACCCTCGCCCATGGCCAATCCCAGCAGCCCTGAGACCCGGCGCTGCCAGAGGAAGCGCTGCCGAAGGACCTAGCTTGTTTCCCAGTGAAAACTGCCTTCTACAGCTGGGATGGCGTTTTCTCTGTTTCTCCCTTTGGACCACCCCCAGGGCAACAGGAGAGGGAGGACTGAACCAAGGTTTGTCTCGGCTGCCCCCCTGCCACCCGAGGCTGGGAGAGGCCTTGCTACAGGGGCTCCGGGGCCATTATCCCTGTGATCCGGAGACCCGGACTTCCTAGTCTGTCTGCTTCCTGTGCCGGGTGTGGGAGCAGCCACTTTCCTTCTCAGAGTCTCTGGGGAGCTGCTGCCCCAGCATGTCTGGACTCAGGCTGCAGGCCTGGGAGGCTGGTCTGCTGCCTGTGAGGAGGACGGCTTCGTGAGAGGTCGGCTCTTCCTGCTGTCGCCGCCGGCCTTGGGTTTTTCTTAACTTGCTTTGCATGTTGTCAGCTGCTGTTCCTCTCGTCTGAGGCTGAAAACGACCGTAATAAACTTAAGAGTTTATGTCTGATGCTTACATACCCATGGAATGAAAGGGGTCGGACTGAGGCCTGGGGCTCACAGGTGTCCACAGCTTTTCTCCTGTTGTGGGGGGGCGGGTCACAACACCCTTGAGGAGTCACGGCCTGGTTCTCTTTTCTCCCTCAAGACCTTGTCTTAATACTTCTCCTTTCTGAAGGGGCCTGCCTCCCCCTCCCCCGCAGCCTCCAGGTGACCGGCATTTGCCCTGTGGGGCCCTGAGGCTGCCCAGCCCTTCCTGCCTGTCGTAGCTGGCTAGGAGCCCCTCTGCCAGTGTGTACAGGGCCCAGGGCATATGAGCCCTGCCCACATCTTCTCCAGACTTTCCAGCTGGCTTGGCATCTCCTGGAGAGAAAGAATTTCCTCTTCTGCCCATCCCAGTTACACAAGAACTTTTTCTGCTGCCCCTCCTGCGCCCCCATCTTGGGGTCAGACCTGTCTGAGAGCCCCGATGCAGGTCATACTGGGTGTCTTGCTCCCGCACACCACCGCTCGTGGTTTCTAGTCTGTTCCCTGGGCGGGCTGCATTCAGTCCTGCCGGTAGGTGGGAGAAGGGCCCGTCAGGTACCACAGGCGTGGTCAGGAGCCCAGGTCCAGCGGGAGGTCGGGGATGGTGGTCATCAGGAAGAGGCAGATGCAGCAGGAGAGGTCAGGTCCCAACCTATGGGGCCGCACACCCTTGCCCATCCTTACTGGGAGGTCAGCCAGGAGGGCTAGGCACCCCTGCTCCATGCCACAGGCCACGCACACCTAGGGCGGGCATGGGGATGGGCGGGGCAGGCCTCGGGGGACCTGGCCTCCATATCTGGGAGTCTGGTTGGGGGGCGGGGGGCCCACCTGTTGCAGAAGGCAGGGGGAAGGGAAGGCAGCAACAACAGCATTGGCCACAGCCGGGCTGACGCAGTTGAACTGCCTGATCTGCTGCCAGCAGGCCCCCCGCAGGCCGGTGCCATCTCTTGCCACTCTTCTCGGCTGCTGCCCAGCACGTGGTGGTGCAACTCCCGGGACTGCCTGGGAAGGGGAGGATGCAGGGAAGTGCCTAGATTCTTCATCACCTCTACTGAGCGCCCCGCCCCCAGCTCAACAAAACCCACAGCCCCCTCTGCTCTAGAGGCCAGAGAGGCGCCACCCTGCCCAGGACTGCCACCCCGCCCGGCACTCCCATCCCTCCCGCTGCAGCCCCCAGCAGGGTGAGGGTCACACACTTGAAGGGACGCTGGGTGAGGGCCTTGGTGAAGGCACACACATGCTGACTCAGCTCCTACCAGGAGGCCACCAACAGCACATCCACGTTTGCCCAGAGCTGCAGAAGCACCAGGGCCTGAGAAGGAGATGAGCCTATGGGTGTGGGTCAGAGAGTTCCCATGGGTGACACCCAGCTGAGACCAACCCCACATGCCCCCCCCCCCCCCGCCCCGTGCCAAACCAGCCCCTGCTGGGTCTCGGAGAGCAGCCCAAGGGCCAGAGCCCATGCCAACCATCTGGCCCAACCCAACTGTCCTCACCACCTCCACCTCGGGCCAGCCAACTGCCACCTAGGCACGAGTCACCACTAGATGCTCTGGCTGCCATGCCTCCTGGGTACTGGACTGGTAAGACCTATGCAGAGGTAACCATCCCTCTGGCTCCCTACCCTCCATGAGTTCTCCTCCTGCCCCCCAGAGCCCGCCCAAGAGAGAGGGTTAGCTGTGACACCAGCCCCCAGGGCCACCCCTGCCTTTCGCCCGAACTCTCCCATCCCAGGCAGGCTGGCTAAGGGTGTTAGGGTGCCCGGTACCACAGGTAAACATCAGCCCAATGACAGCCAGGTGGAGGCAGGCAGGGCTCTCAGGACTGATCCAGGGCACAGAACAGGTTGGGCCACATGTCTGCAAACCAAGAAGATTTACCATACCTGTTCCTCGGGGGCTGCGGCAGGCGGGGCCCACTGGCCACCACCAGTTTGCAGGAAGCAGGGGAGTGAGCCCAAGAACAACCCCACGGTGCTGGGAGGAAACAGGGGTGGACTCCTCCGCCCAACCAGTTCTCTTTAGAAATCTAGCTCTGTGCTTTCCACATGATCAAGAAGATCTATGAAAGAACCCGGGCACACCCCAGGCTCCTAGAAGAGTTGGACTCAACCCTCCTCCCCATTCCTGGTCCACCTCTGCACCCCAGCCTGGCATTTGCTTGACATACACAGGTGCTTGATAAACGGAGAACCTTGAACTCTGGGACCTGGCAGAGGGTCTAACCTAATGACGCTCTGGTGCAAACATCAGCTGAGCAATCCCTATTTCTCCCGCCAGGCGGCAGCTGAGCGGTTGGGTGTCACAAGGTGGACTGCACAGCCAGCCTGCAGCCCTAGTCCCCAGGCCCCCTCTCAGCAGTTTACCACCTGACTTCCGACTCAGTTCTCAAGAGAACCCTCCTTATCCTGGCTTCTACCCTCAAGAAGCAGCCGTGGCTCCCACCTGCTCCCAGGCCAAGAGCCCGGCTGGCTTCCCCCATCTCACCCACAACATCCAAAATAGGGAACCCAGCCCCTCACGATCTGTGGTCAGGGATTACTCCTTCCTCCCTCCCTCCCGCACCTGGGTCAGCTGGACAACGCCCTGCAGAAACTCCTCAGGCTCCAGCAGCAGCAGCCAGTCCTGCTCATCCGCAGCCCACACCTCAGGAGGCACCTGTGGGAACATACACGGCGCTGTTGCCCACCCGTGGCCTCGTGCACCCCGGGCCATGGCCTGGGCACCCCAGGAGTCCTGAGGCTTGCGCAGGTTCTTCCCGGACTGCTCTACAGAAACCCAGCGTCCCACCTTCTACTGAGACTAAAAGCAGCGCAGGTCTGCCAGGCAGCAACACCTGTGGCCACAGCCTGGATGGGATGGAGCATCAATCAGCAGCAGCTGCGTTCAGGCTCTGGCTCCCAGCCCGCAACTTACCAAAAGTGGCCTGTGCATCACTCACTCAGCGTTCCCCGTTCTCCGTTTACTGGTATGTAAAACGTGCACAATTGCTGCAGCTGCCTCTCAAAAGAGCTTTGTCACATAAAACACCCAACCCAGGGCTGCATTCCATAAACCCAGGACACTCACACTGAGGGAGCAAGGGTCTGGCTTCACTCTGCTCCACCCGAGGCTCCATGCAGGGCGTTCGGGCTCCACGCGGCACTCACAGCTCAGGGCGTCCAGAGCCTCCATCAGGATGTCGGCACCGGCATCTTCCAGAATGGCTGGATGGGGCAGAGGGGCAGTCAGCTGTCACTCCTTCTTTCCCCCACGACAGGACACTACTTGGGTGGGGACAGCAGCCCCACAGCCTGCACAGCGTGTTACCAACAACTGATTCCCGTCCGGCTCCCAGAGCGCAGATAAACAAGCTCCTCAAGGCCGAGCTCCCCATCCCGGGCCGCTGCCCGCGCCCGCCCGCACCTGGGTCCATGAGCACCACCAGGCGCCGCACGGCTTGCTCCGGCCGCAGCCGCCGCAGCACCTCGGCCGCCGCCCTGTGCTCTTCCGCCGGGTCTCGGACCCTGGCGGCGGCCTCCTCGCCCGCGGGGCCCTCGATGTCCGAGTCCGATATCTCCCAGGTCGGGGGCTGCAGCTATCCCCGGCCCCGGCGCGAGCCCCCAGCCCTCCCAGACCCAGCCCTCGCCACGGCCCGCCCGGCCTCTTCTCCCCTTCCGGCAGCGCCCGGACGCCTTTGCGGGGGACACCCGCCGCTTCCGGCGTCGGGCTCGCCCCGCGGCGCGCGGTGGCATCTTCCGGCCGGAGCGCGGAGGCTGCCCGGCCATGGCGCGGAAGAAGGTGGGGCCGCGGCTGATCGCCGAGCTGGCCCGCCGCGTGCGGGCCCTGCGCGAGCAGCGGGAGCGGCCGCGCGATTCGGAGCGCTACTCCCTGGACTACGAGACGCTGACGCGGCCGCACTCGGGCCGCAAGCTGCCCGCGCGAGCCTGGGCCGATGTGCGCCGCGAAAGCCGCCTCCTGCAGTTGCTTGGCCGCCTCCCGCTCTTCGGCCTGGGCCGCCTTGTCACGCGCAAGTCCTGGCTGTGGCAGCACGACGAGCCGTGCTACTGGCGCCTCACGCGGGTCCGGCCCGACTACACGGCGCAGGTGCGTGCACGGTGCCCACCCCTCAGCTTCCGGCACCGCGGGGCACCACTGTCTCCCCTGCGCGCGGCTTTGTGGGACGGGATATCCTGTCGCCCGATCCCTGGGCAAGCGAGCTTTCTGAGCTGATCTCCTCCCCACTTGCTTTGCAGAACTTGGACCATGGGAAGGCCTGGGGCGTCCTGACCTTCAAAGGTAAGTCGTCCAAACCCGGTGGGGAGGCTGCCGGCAACAGATTGTTCCGTCAACGTGTGTGCAAGAAGCCTCGTTCTTCTTTCCCCAGGAAAGACGGAGAGTGAGGCTCGGGAGATAGAACAGGTCATGTACCACGACTGGCGGCTGGTGCCCAAGCACGAGGAGGAAGCCTTCACCGCTTTCACGCCGGCGCCGGAGGACACTCTGCGCACTGTGCCCTACCCGCCGCTCCTCCGCGCAATGATTCTAGCAGAGCGACAGAGAAATGGAGACACCAGCACGGAGGAGCCCATGCTCAATCTGAAGAGGATACGCATTGATCCCTGGGACTATCCTGAGAACCAGGAGTCGAAGAGAAAGACCAAGGGCACTGCAGTCTAAAATGCCAGAGCGGGCAGGCTGCCGCAAGGGTGCAAGGCAGTGGCCACCATTTTCGGTTACACCTGAATCAGCCCCCTGGGAGCTTGGATCCTACCTCCCCGTGACTTGTTGAGGTTCTACATTTTCTTGGAAAAGGGTGGGGTCAGACCTTGCACCTTGTGTCTTTCCTCTGTCCCCGCTGCCCCAACACGCAGATCTGACTGAGGGGGCCTCTTAGGAGGTGGCTGCTGGGGGAAAGCCGCAGGTTTGGAGCCCCGCTGCTGGCTCCTGTCACTTCCACGCTGGCTTCCCTCCCTATGACCTGTTGCCTCTGCCGGGACCCAGGTAGAAACTGAACGCGAATAAAGGCACATGAAGCAGCCCTGGGTTGTGACTTTTTTGAGTTTGGGGTACCAAAGCGGGCTGTTGGCAGGGCTGTGGGGGAGGAGCAGGCTGACACTGCTGCTTACGGCCGGGTGGTGAGAGGAGTTCCGCGCAGGCGCCCGGTGGTGGGGAGACCCGAGGGGATTCGGGAGTCACAGGCGCGGCTGCAGAGGTCCCGGCGTCGGCGTGAACGACAGGCACCCCCTCTCCGCGTCCGCCGAGGTGGCGGCGCCCGGCGACCAGGCGGCTTTAAGCACAGGCCCCGCCCCGGCCCGCGCGTCTCCCCCGCCCCGGCCCTCGAGCCGCCCGAGCCCCGTTGCCGCCATCATGATCTGCCTGGTGCTGACCATCTTCGCCAACCTCTTCCCGGCGGGTGAGCGGCGCGGGCTGGGCGGGGCGGGTAGGGGGTGCGACCGGGTCTGATGCGCCCCTACTCCGGCGGTTCCCACAGCGTACACCGGCGTGCACGAGCGCACTTTCCTGGCCGTGAAGCCTGACGGCGTGCAGCGGCGGCTCGTGGGCGAGATCGTTCGGCGCTTCGAGAGGAAGGGCTTCAAGCTGGTGGCGCTGAAGCTGGTGCTGGTGAGGGCCGGGGTCCCCAGGCGTGGGGAGTGGACGGGGGTGTTGGGGAGAGGTCCCCGGGCGTGGGGAGCGCGGCGGGGTGGGGTGCAGGGGGAGACGGTGTCCCCGCGCGTGGGGGATGGGGGTCCCAGGAGCACGCGTCCCTTCCCCCCTCCCTCCCCAGGCCTCCGAGGAGCTGCTGCGCCAGCACTACGCCGAGCTGCGTGAGCGCCCTTTCTACGGGCGCCTGGTCAAGTACATGGGCTCCGGGCCGGTGGTGGCCATGGTGAGTGCTGGCTGGTGGGAGGGCGGCGCGCTGACCCCGTGCTGACCCCGGACCCCGTCTGCAGATGTGGCAGGGTCTGGACGTTGTGCGCGCTTCGCGGGCGCTCATCGGGGCCACGAACCCGGCCGACGCCACGCCCGGTACCATCCGTGGCGATTTCTGCATCGAGGTCGGCAAGTAAGTCCGGTTCCAACTCCCCGAACCGGGCTGCGCGGGGCTCTCTGCCCGAGCTCTCTCTGCTCCGGGCCCTCTCTGCTCCGGGCCTGCGCTCACCCGCGCCTCTCCTGCACAGGAACGTGATTCACGGCAGCGACTCGGTGGAGAGCGCCCGCCGCGAGATAGCGCTCTGGTTCCGCGCAGACGAGCTTCTGTGCTGGGAGGACAGCGCCGGGCACTGGCTGTACGAGTAGCCGGTCGGGCAGATGTGCCCGTCTGCAGTGGGCTGTGGGTGATTCCGCATTCTCCAGGCCCCGGAGGTGTGCACACGTGTGGACCCAACCCCTAGGAGCTCAGAATACCCTTCCTGTGGCACGGGGCACAGGAGGGCAGGTGGTGCACGCCTGCGGAGCTCTGGTTGCTACAGGCCTTCCTGTCCTGGCTGAGGTTCTCAGGAGGCCCAGCCCGGCCTGCGCCTGTTTACAGCACGTCTGGAATGCGGCAGGGTGCCACCGTAGTACTTTGCTTGTCCCAGTACTTCTTTTTATAATAAATTGAGGAAAACTTTTGTGCTCCAGTTGGTTTGGGCTCAGGGACACAGAAGCATGATGTTAAGACATTTATTACTTACAGAGCAGATATGTAGGTTCACTTGCAGGGCCAAAGCCTGAGGAGAATCGTGTCACCCAGTTGCACCCACCCGGCTAACCCCCGAGTCACTTCAGGCCCTGTGAGGACAGACAAGGGACTTGACGTACATCACAGTGGAGAGTGGCAGGGTGGTGGGGAGAAGCCTGCAGCTGCTGGTGGCTGCAGCAGTGGCCAGCTGGGCTCGTGGGATGGCTGCCCAAGATCTGTGCTTCTCTGGTGGGAGGTGGGTGGGCAGCAGTGCCTGGGGCTGCCCTGATCGGTGCCTCGAGGAACAGGAATAAGGCGTGGGCAGGTGGGGGAGTTGGCAGTCCAGGGCGGTGCCCCTCAAAGCAGGCACGCGCCATCGCCGAGAACCGGCTGGAGGCGGCTCCTGTCCTTAACCCTTGGGCCTCTGCTCGGTGGCCTATCATCAGGTGCCCTCAAGGGAGCAGGCCACACCGCTTATCCCTAGGCACTTAGTAGCGTGTCTTGGGAGCTGGGCTCCTTGGAGACTGCACAGGAGGCCGGCCCTGGAGCACACCTTTCCCCATCACCCTGAGGCTGAGCCTACATCCAAGGACTGACCCCGGGAGAGACCAGGGGCCTCCCCTTCTTCCTGAGGCTTGGGCCTGCCCTGGCAGCCTGAGAAATTCCACCCTAGGGGCTTCCAGGAGGGGTGGGACTCAAGGGGCCTGCTCCTACAAGGTGAGTGTTCACCCAGGGAGAGTTAGCAGGGTCGGGGAGGACACAGGTCAGTGAGGGCCAGTGAGAGCCCACCACACAGGACGATTATGGGGCTTGAGCGGGATGAGGGTGTGTGTGTGTCTTCTCAGGCAGCTGCCCCAGGGAGCCTGGTTACATGCTTTCATGCCAGTTCCCAGGGCGGTAGGGATGGGGGAGGGGGAGCCCAGGGAAGGCTAGCAACTGGGCCAACTCCCTGAGGGTTGGATCCCCACTCCCATGGGCAGCAGCCAAAGGCAAGTGGACTCAGGGTGGGAAGACTCAGCGGGGTGAAGTCCCTGCTCGACTCCCTGGAGAGATCCTGGGAATGAGTGACTGGAGTGGGGAGCCCAGGGTGGAGCTCGGAGCCACCTGTGGGGGCTTCCCTGGCCCGACCCACCCTGGGGTTCTGCCTCGCTCTGGCCCTGAAGTGCCCTCGGGCCTGGAGGGCTTTGGGCTGGGTGCCAGCCAGGAGCTGCTGGGGAGAGGGTGTCCCGAGAGGCTCTGCCCCTCCCTGGTCAGGACGCCACCCCACTACCCGCTCCCAGCCAGACCCTATGCTCTCTGCCAGCTCATGGGGAGGCCCGGACTGAAGGTGAAAGCTGCAGGTTGAGAGGCTAGAAGTGGGGTGGACGGGCACCTGGCTGCCTGCGGGCAGGCTGCCCCCTGGGTGGGTGGTGGGCAGGTGGGCGGGGCTGTATGTACATGTGGCAGATGGCATCAGGCGGGGCGGGGTGGCGGCAGGCCGCAGCCTCACTCGGGGGTGTAGGACACCTGCCACACGATGATGTGGCTGCGCTCGGCCTTGGACAGCAGGGGCTTCACTTGGCTCACGTCCCCTGCACCCTCCTCGGGCTCATCGTCTTCTCCGTCGCCTGGAGAGAGCACAGCTGCCATGAAGGGGCCACCCCTGTCCGGGGACACCTGGGGCCCCAGCGGCACCCACTTACCGATGCGGAAGTCAATGTAGCCCTCCCCGCCGCTAAGCACCAGCACGTTCTTCAGCTTCTGGGCCTCGGTGTCTGCGGTGGGGGCAGTGGGCCCGGGACTCTCGGAGGGGCTGTCGAGCACGCTGCCGTTCAGAGTGGCCAACACGTTCCCTGTCATCGGGGCACAGGGACCTCAGCGGGGCAGCCAGAGCACCCCCCCCACAGGCTCCTGAAGGGAGGCCGCGGCTGCAGCCTTGCGGGGAGTGGGGCCCGGCCCCTCACCTGGCACGGAGACAAAGAATTTGACAGCGTCACGGTGCCCGTGGAAGCAGAGCTGAGCCTGGGCCATGGAGCAGTAAGGGATGAAGCTGCTGGCTGATTTGTCACTGCTGTCGTCTCCGTACACGTGGATGATGCCTCCTGGGCGGGCCCCCTCCCCAGATGTGGGGGACGACTTGTTGGC